TTACACTATTTGTAGACTTAAAGTTATCAAAGTTACTTAAAATTCATATCGTCTTTTCTTCAGGGAATTTAATATTAATTAATCAAACATTTAAGAATTTCTTCAAATAAATTTCAGTGTGCTTGTGTTTTACAAAAGTTTATTTATCGAAAAATTCTCAGGAACAGAACCATGTTAGCTTTTCAATATTTGTCAGCTTACCATTTTTAATAAAAAAGATGATAAAATAAAAAAATTAAGTTATTCGCTATAAAAAAGAAAACGAAAGATGTATTCCGGCATTAGTTTAATAGTGATAAACGCAACTATATACACGACAGTGAATATATTGGCAACAGAATGCAGTGATAAAGTAAGTGTATTTTTGTTATTTGTTGATTTTTGTGCAAGCCAATAAGAAATCCCAATATAAAACTGATTTGGGGGAATCACTGCAAAGAGTCTTACTTTAAAACGTGACATCATGTCATCGTTTACGCTTAAATTCCCCTCTTTAATGATTCATTCAAGTCCGAGCTAAACATTTTATTGTTGCATTTTATAAATGTTTAAATAGAATTTGCGTGCAGGTTTTTTTATATGCAAAGTTCGTTTATTTGCACTGCCCAAAGGTTAAAAAGAGAGTAAAAATGTAGAGAGAGTGTGATAAAGGTGGACTTGATAAGCATTGATAAACTGGGAAAAATTGGGGTACACTTTGCAATAAAATTATATAAAGCAATACAAAATAATAAAAAATAATAAAAGATAATAAGAAAATTTGTATATTTTAATACAAAACTAAATTTTTAAATAATAACACCTATAACTAATGATAATATTATACATTTTTCCTAATTAGAATATTTATTAAAGACAGAAACTCTTTCTTACGTAAAATATATAAATATTCGGTGAAAGATTTCTTTGATATAATCTTTGTTTTTTATACAAAATTTACCGCCCAAAGTCAGATCTATCGATGCTCCAAAAGCCCCCACAGCAGTCAGCCCGGAAAAGCTCATAAAATCACAATTGCAATTGCCCGGGGACTCGGTCGCTGTCTCTGTATTTAGTATCTGTGTGCCACCGGACAGTTGGACAATGAGTCACGTTGTCGTAACCCCGAAATTAAGTCCCCGTTGACCCATGGATGCTAATGAGCCAACGGATTCGATTTGCCCGACTCGAGATGTGAGCTACAATTAAAGGGGATCACCATTGGAATCGAAATCGTAATTAGATTTATCAGTGATTCACTAATATACAGTGACATTTAGACTATAAAGGGGATATATTTTGGAATATATCTTTAGATTTGAAGGCATCTAGAATGGCATTGGGTTCGATATTATCTTAATATAATATGTTCTTTCCTTTTTCTAAATTGTAAACTGTTTAGACGATATATTCTGGGATATAGCGCAAGTTTTCGATAGATCTAAAATCTTATTGGGTTCAATATTTCGAAAATAAAATTGATTTCGTAATTTAGAAGTAAAAAATTACTCATTTTTTAAATAAAGTACCTATTATTTGAGTTCCTGAACTCTGACCTGTTAATTTACAAAACAAATTATGCAATTTTACATATAGTTTCCAAAACAAATATATTTGTTTAGTAATTATTAAGCAGTTTATAATTCAGTTATTAAATTTCACTTCCCTTTTCATTGCTTAATTAACCCATATTCCAATCCTTAATATCTCTTATAAAAGTAGGGTATTTCAAGACCCATAGCACCCGCAACCCTTGCCAAAAACCCAACGAATATGAAAAAAAAAAATATATAATAAACAAAACCTTAACAAATCCGCTCAGCTGTTATCAGGCACTCGCTCTTTCTCTCCCCGATTCACTCTCGACTCGCGCTCTTTCTCTTTCTCAGAGAGAGAGAGATATAGCTTCGCCGATTTGGTTTCACAGTCAGTGTGCCATCGATTTTTCCCACTGTTACCTCGTGGCTCTTGTGTTTTTTTGTTGTCCTAGGACCGTGTGAGTCAGCTGATGGCGCTCGGTTTTCCTTTCGACTACCCTTCGGCTGCACATTTTCCACTCGGCTCGCTTTGTTGTGACACCTCAGCTGACAGCTGCAGTTGCATTTCATAGCTTTTCCTGCACTTTGCAATTAAATAACCAATAATAATTGTTTCTTATGACCAAAAGTAACGCTAGAAATGTTAAAACGGAAGCGGAAATCACCGGATTCGTGGACTAATCGGTGAAATTGTAGTACAGTGCGGAAATAGAAAACATCACGAAACTGACGCATTAGCGTAGCACACAAAAAAAAAAAACAAGAAAATAAAGGGGGAAAAGTCCCATAACATTTGAGAGAAAAAAGAAGAGAAATTCAAGTTTGCCGCGCCCGTTTTTTGTTTTGTTTTCTTCTCCTTCGGAAGGTGTCAAACGCGGAGGAGGAAGCAGATTTGCCAAAACAAATTGCACCGGAAGAAAGAGAGAAAGCAACGCTTGGATTGCTCTCTCTTTCTCAGTGGTAGGTGTGCGTGTGTATGTGTGTGTTTTTGTGTGATTTTCCCCGATTTGTGTGAGTTTTAGATGCGTAAGCTCGTGTGCAGGTTTTGTTTGTGCTTTGCCTTTGCTTTCGCTTTCGCTTTCACTTTTCACAAATTGCAGAAAATTGCGCTTTTGACACAATTAAGAAAATGTGTTTCGTGTGCTTTCTACTTTGGAAAAGCCTCTTTTCATCCGCCCCATCGAGCCATTACCACCACACTTTTCCCCTCATTATGCCACATATATTTTCTTTTATTTTTTTGTATAATTGAAAACTGATTTGTTTGAAGGACACCAAACATTTAGCAAAGAGAAAATTTCCTTTGAGTCGCAAGTACTTTAAAAATACCCTAACTCTGTAATTAATAATTTATATTTTTCTATGCAAAAGTAACTTAAATGCAATGTTTTAGGAGTTATTTTTAAATTTTCTATAAATTTTTTCTAATCAGTATTTTAAAGAGTATTTTCTTGTCAACTTTTTCCATTTATAGTGTATTTTTGACACTGCATTTTGTTCCTTTAATATTATTTATGAAATAGTCAAGTACTTCCTGGTATATTACTATCTTGTAAGGTTTTTTTAACTTAAACAAATAAATTATTTCAATTAAATTTTTTAATAAGAAAGGGTATAGTTAACAGGTTTTTAAATCCACTTTTCCCCCTTATAATCCGTAATGGAAAATTACAAAAAATAGACCAGAGAGAGAGCAACCAAAAACTTGGCAAAAAACATCCAACTTGTAATGAGTCACGTGGGCGGACAACAGCAAGCAATTTATTGCTACCAATTAATTTTGGCCAACAATTTTAACACCTCCCTTTGGATGGCCTAGAATGGCCACTCCCACTCCCACGCCCCCCTCCACACCTTGAGTATTTCAATTAGTCGACCATTTTTCGAGGCCTAATAAAAACAAGGTGGTGTAACTGCCCTACACCCAGGACCGATAAAAAATTCCCTAATTTGTTTTTATTGTGATTTATGAGAGAACCGTGAGCTTTGTCTACCTCACTTTCGCCCTCTGGCACCCTGTTCTCTTCTCTGTTAAGTATTTTAGTTATTTAATTAATACAATTATAAATTTAGCAATGTAGTTAAAAATATTAAGTCATTGAACTTGATTGTTATGATCAAGGTGGTGCTACCTTTTATCGGCTATGAGACAGCCAACAGAAAACCGTCAACAAAAGCTTACTTAAAGATAAGAAATATCTGTTGGGAATGGAATAACTTTGGAATATAGACAAAAAAAATAGGGAAAGGCAAAAGTTTAAACATAAATGGGTGGGAATTTGTGTAGTATTTTTATAGAAAAATAATGAAACAATTGGTTATAATGAACTTTATGGGTTTAGAATTGTTTTATAATAAATGGTTGGGATTGGTGTAGTGTTTTTATAGGAAATTCATAAAATGAATGCTTATGATAATCTTTATGGGTTTAGAATTATTTATAAAAAAAAAAACTGATCAAGACCATTGATTTTTTGAATTGCATAAACAGATGACTAAGTTTTTCTTTCATTTAAACACTAATTAATACCCCTCGGGCCGGATCGGACGACTATGTCATATAGCTGTCATAGGAATGATCGAAAAATTTTAACAAAAAAATTTAACATTTTCAGTTTTCAACAGAATTTGATCAAATTTCAGATATACCCATTTTATTATACTCTTCAATTTTGTGTAAAATTTTATGAAAATCGGACTACTATATCATATAGCTCCCATAGGAACGATCGAGAAATTAATACAATTCAAAATTACAACTATTTCAGTTTTCAACAGATTTTCATCAAATTTGAGGTATAGCCATTTTATATTAGTCTTAATTTTTGTGTAAATTTCAAGAAAATCGGACGACTATATCATATAGGTGCCATACAAACGATCGTTTGATTTAGAGGAAAAATGCAAATCTGTGAACTGCAAATATATTATGTTTAGGTGAATGAAATGAAAGCAGGTATTACTTCATTGATTTTAATCATAAATATATATCATTTATATTGTAGGGATTCCTAGTCATAGAAGTTCTATCTGCAAGGGTATATAAACTTCGGCGTGCCGAAGTTAGCTTCCTTTCTTGTTTTATATACTGGAGGAATTTTCTCGATAGAAATTTGGTTCTTGCTCTCAGAGCCTCTTGCTAAAAGAGATTAGTAAAGTCAGGTGGGTACAAAATCCTGGCAAAAAGTGCTTCGAATTCATCTATGGAAGCAATAAAATTATTTCTCTACAACAGATAGTTGGAAGATAAGTGTTTTTATAAACAATGGAAAATAAAAAAAAAAGCTGTATGTATCCGAAATATGCAATAAAAAATTTGGTTCCGTTTGCTTTGTCAGTGGCGGTGATAGTTAGGTCATTTCCATGCCTAATTTAAATTATTTAAATTAATTTTTTTTGCTCTGCCAATATGTGTTTCGAATTAAAATATACGCTTTAAAATTTCAATTCAATCCGCTTGCCATAAATTGCACGACTCTGCCATGTTCCGGGGTTAGTTCACATTTAATTTTGACAGCAAAAAGTTCTATAAAAAATAATTTTCAAAATGAAGCTCTTAATTTTTGTGGCCCTAATTGCTGCTCTTGTGGCCACTGCCTCGGCTTTGAAAAACGGTGTGTGTTAAATTGTTTAAACCGCCTCAAAAGATCCCTGATTAAAAATTCTTCCTTTAAAATAATTTCAAAGAAATCTGCGGTTTGCCACATTCTATTGATGGTGATGAAAAAACAGGCGTATACTGTCAGGCTCTTTTTATGATTATACATATGATTCGTCGGCTAATAAGTGCATCATGTTCATCTATGGAGGCTGCGGGGGCAATGAAAATCGTTTTGGTTCAAAAGAGAGTTGCGAAGAAAAATGCCTGGAATGAAGCAATTTTCGAAATCGAAAGATAATGAATGAACTGCTTAATTAAAGCAGATCTAAAAAATCAAATTATTCTATAAATACATATATAAATTCAGTTCACCTGTTATGTCTTCTTATTATATATTTTATATACTGGAGGAATTTTCTCGATAGAAATTAGGTTCTTGCTCTCAGAGCCTCTTGCTAAGATAGATTAGTAAAGTCTGGTGGGTATAAAATCCTGGCAAAAAGTGCTTCGAATTCATCTATGGAAGCAATAAAAATTATTTCTCTACAACAGATAGTTGGGAAGATAAGTGTTTTTTATAAACAATGGAAATCAAAAATAAATCTGTAAGTATCCGAAAATTCATTAAAAAAATTTGGTCCCGTTTTGGTTCCGTGCCAACGATAGTTATGTCATTTCCATGCCTAATTTAATTATTTTTTTGCTCTGCCAATATGTGTTTCGAATTCAAATATACGCTTTAAAATTTCAATTCAATCCGCTTGCTATAAATTGCACGACTCTGCCATGTTCCGGGTTTAGTTCATGTCGAATTAAATTTCTAATTGCTGAAAATAACCTGGCAAACCTTGAAAGCAAAACTTTTGAACAAATGTAAATGGTTTCCTATACTCTCGGGCAGCAAACTAAAGAGACCCCGACCCCTCATCGACCTACCGACCATCTGACAGATGTCCAACAAAGGTTAAGCCCCGACCTTTTCGTCTCCTGGATTTTTTTATATTCTCTTTCTATTTTTTATTTTGAATACCCGTAAATCTCTTTCTCTCTCTCTCTCTCTCTCTCTATTTAATGATCATTATGGGTGGAAAATTTCTGTCGTTCCAAACTTGCTAAAAAGTAAAAGTTCAATTTGCAGTTGTACAGGAAAAAAAATGAGGCAAAGAGCCGAAGCAGCAGGAGAACAACGATTTCCCATTCAAGGAGGCCAAGGAGGAGCAACTGCAATTGCCATGGCCCCCGGGCACTCGGCTATTGACACAGCTTCCAGAATCAGCCGCAGATGAAGGGGTTGTTCTCCACCGAACAACGAACTTGCCTTTAGAAATCAAACAACTAAAGTAGCAACTTTTTGTCAACCATCGGAGGGGGGAGGGTGAGGGAGCGGGGGAGATCGCTCCCACCTTTGGTGCTACCTGGGCAACTAATTCATTTCATATTTCTGCAACATTTTCGCAACAGAAAAGTTTTCTAGCCTTTTCGAAAAGGAAGACTGAGAAAAAATGGCAAAATTGAGTTGTATTCTTAACCAAACAGTGGATACTCTATAAAGGAATTTTGTTAGGAATAATTATTTATCGGGGTTTTATTTGTATAATTTATATATTATTTAAAAACTGATGAGAAGTAGTTTGTAAAGTTTGCTTTATAATATTATTAGTTTTGTAAGTTTCAGGTTTCAAGAATAAGTCATACAATTTTATTAAGCATTCTCATTTACTATTTCAACAAAGCATTACATTTTAAATAGAAATTAGCACATAGACATCATTGCACAAACTATATTTTTGTATTAAAAAATGTGTAAAATAGCCTCTCCTTGAAATTTTAATATTTCTTTTGAAATATTTCTTACACTGTAATAGTTAAACCTTATTAACAACAACGATATTTCCATGAAATTAATTTTAAACAAAATATCTATACTCTTTCTAAGGTAAAGAGTTTAAAAGAATTATATTACTATTAAGTTATTTATAAATCAAACCAACAATTGACTATTTTTCCCATTTTTTATAAATATAAACCTATTGTGTTCCCATTACCTTCAAGTCCCTCTTTATATCCATAAATATCCTATATTTACAGAGTATAAAACCTGTAAAAATATATACTGTTGAAATAAAAAAAAATTGTGAAAAACCTGAACCAAACAATGCGACTGATTGAAAAGTTTTTTAATTGATTTTTGTAAACTTCTTTTGCAGCAACACCACAACAGCAGCAGCAGCACCAGTGGCAGCGGCAGCGGCAGCGACAACAGCACCAGAAGCAATAGCACCGAAAGCAGCCACAGGACCAACGGGACCAACCTCAACTACAACAACAAGAACACCATATACAACAACCACAGCGACAACAACAACACCATATACAACAACCACAACGATAACAACAACACCATATACAACAACCACAACGACAACAACAGGAAATTCAACAATAACAACAAAAGCAACAACAACATCATGGGAAATTCACAAATCGAGCAGCGAATAGCGATGAAAAGTCAACGCCAGGTGCCGGCAGTCTAGTGCGGCTGGGAATCGAAAGCGGTGGCAGTGGAGGCGGCAACGGAGCCGGTGTTGGAATGGGCGTGGCCATCGTCCAACGTCAGAGCAGTCGAAGTCGCGTCCTCAGCCGCCTTGTTGGCCAGAAACGCATTCGGGAGGCATTCCTACACTCGCCGAAAGCGGCTGTCAATACGGAGGCTAATGGCGACGGCGGCGGCGGTGGCAGCGGCGATTGGATCACAGCGGAAACGGAAGTGAAGCATGGACAATTGGACGATGTTGCTGAGCAAATAGATTTTCGTAAGTCAATTTCCAAAGTTTTCCACAGCAATGCATGGAGAAAAATTTCAACCTAAATGGGTCACCGAAACTATTTTTTAACTGAGAAATTAAAGATACTTTTTAGAGTATGATTATCGGTTTTATAATCGGTAAATTTTATTAATCTGGTCATACTTTTTGAAAATAATTAATTAATGGTCACTTTTAACCGGTAAAAGTTTCCATTACACATTCTTTAACAAATATAATTTGAATACAATGTAATATATATATATTATATGTATATAATGTGACCACGCTTTTATTTATTTATTCTAAATTTATATACTTCCCACAATTCCAATAACTATATTGATGTTTATTTTTCTCTGTGCACTTTTTTGTTCTGATTATTGTTGTTGCTATTTATATTGTGATTCGTTGTTGAGGACTTTACTTTATTTATTGTTGTTGTTATACTAGATCCTATTGTTAGTGTGCATCAAATTCAGTTTGTCATCGTTTTTCTTTTTTTTATATATATATCTGAACACCCCCTTTTCTAGTTTATTTCTCCACCCAACCAAAGCTTGACCCTTGCAGTTTTCAATATGCCAAGTTTTATTTTTTTACCTCTATTGTTCCTTGGGATTTTGTTTTTTACTATTTTTTTACATCTTGTTGGGGGACTTTTGTTTTAATATAGAACTCTGCAACCTCAGACTACAGTGCGTCTCGAATTTGTAAAGCAAGTGGTCAAATAATGACCGGCTTCAAGGGGTAAAAATGCTGAAATAAACTAAAGGTTTTCCGTTTCTTGTGATTTATGTGAAATTCGATATGACAGCAATTAAATGTGACACAGTTCAAAAGACAATAAAAAACCATTAAAAGGAAAATTGTTTGCCATTGATATCTGCCACAATTTATAATTGTCTTAATTTTATTACTTATACGAATATAAAGAATAAATGAAAATGTATTTAATAAACAAGTTTAACTCTTAAATTGATAAAAAATAAATTTTAAATATTTATTTAAGTCATTTCTGTAGTTCCATGATCTCTAAAGTAATGAAACACACTGTCTTTCAAACTCTCTTCAATTTCGACTTATTGCAATTTAAGCGGAGTTTAAATAAGAATTTTTCGGAAGTTTTACAATAACAACAAAGCTAGCGAGGCAGTGAACAAAAAATAAAAACTTTCCATTGAAGTTTTTTATGAAATTTTGCAACACTCAGTCCTCCGATTTTCTTCCTTTTTTCTCTCCCCCCTTCTACCGTTTAAGTTTTCTGAATTTTTGAGCTTCACTCTTCTCCTGATGTTGTTTTTCATTTCTGTTCTTGTTGTTGTGGGCACCTTTTACCCCCGATTTCCCCTACTCACCTACTTATATATCATCCCTCATCGAAGCCAAGACTCTCAAGTTTTTGGCTGCTTGTAACTTATTGGCATTTTCTGCCTTGGAAAATAATATTTTTACTTAGTGTTGCTCCTTTCTCTCTGTCTGTGTGTGTGTGTGTGTTGTGCCTTTTTTGGCAAAGTGAAATCAAAAATTTATAGATTTTAGTTATTCATGTGAAATCTTTAAGATGCTGCTGCCCCCTTTAAAAATATTAAGCAACACACACCCAAAAAAAAAAACAAAAAACAGAAGCTCAAAAGCACGTTCGCCGTCATAACTCAGCAACTGAGCGAAAAGCTGGGAAAACTGAATAAGTACGAGAGAGAGGAAAAGGAAGTGATGTTGGAAAACGGATAAAAGACGAAGGCATCCCGAATGCGACCCACTTCAAAAAAACTCACGGCTGTCTATTAACAGCCATAAGAAAAACGCGTCGAGTTCAAAAGCTGCAGGCGTCTGACTTTTTTCACAAATAAATAAAAAACAAAACAAAAATCACTCAAAGCGGTGGAAATATAAAAAGGGTTTACAATCCGCGAAAACTGAACTTTTAATGCTCTTGTTAGCAGCGAAAATAGTTTCGAAAGGAGGAAGCCACAATTTCTGACTTTTATTGATTGATATATTTGGTTTTCAATCAGCTAAAAATATAACCAATAAATTGGAGAAAAGAATTAGATAATTGCTTGAGTTTGCACAGTCAGGAAGCTGCAAAAATAAAAACATAAGCTGCTTAATAAATAATAAAATAAGAAATAAAGGAACTTGAAATTAAGAATGAAGAAGAAGAATTACAAAAAATTTCTCTTGAAATGGTATAACGAATTTTCTTTTTTAAATAATATAAAAAATGTAAAAACTCAATATATTAGTAAGAATTAATTTAGCATTTAAAATAAATATTTAACCTGCTTTTCTTAAATATTTTTTTTAAGTAAAAACATATAATGTGAAGTTTTTTAACCATTATAAAATTAACTAGAATAACCTTTAATTTAATAAAATGCATAGACCAAGCAAAGTTTATTATTAAATAAAATTGTTTAAACCTCATAATTATTAGTAATACATTTTTTTTTTAACCCAGTTCCCTAACATTTTCCTCATTCTCCCAAAACACTCTATATGGATATAAAATACATTCAAATTTGAGCCAAAATAATTCGGCAAACGTTTTCCTAGATTTTCCATGGCCTTTTCCTATTTGTTTTTCCTGCCTTTTTATTTATTTTTTTTTTTTTTTGTGCGATGTGCTTCTGTTTTTCCCACGCGCCTCTACAAAGTCGCGAAAAATGCGCTCAAGGCTGAGGCGCATATCAAAAAGCAATTCAGAGGCGAAAAAGAGAGAGATGCTTCCAAAAACCTTCCAATGCAAGAAGCTTTTTGGCATTGCAGCGGGGCAAAAAGCAAGCCTAAAATCAAATCAACGAAAAATCCTAAACGTGCCAAGCTAGAGGGTGGAGCGGGGGGCGAGGGGAGGTTCCCCGGGTCCCCGTATCAAAAATTCCCTTTCAGCGATGAGAGATGATAGCTTCCGACTGCTGATCCCCACCCCCACCCCCCTCTCCACCACCCAATTCATTCACTCGCACACACGCAGCTGTTTTTGGGGCCTTTTTCAATGCATAAATTCATAATTCATGGCGTGGCCAAGGGGGAGGGAAAGCAACGCAGTCCACAACTCCCTACAAATCGCACAAGGCTCAAGAAAAAAAATACAGGGAATCGTTAACATTATCCAAACAGCAATTCATAATTTCAAAAATATACTTAAATAACTATAAGATAAAAATTGGAAAATATACACAAAAATAATATTTAACAGTCAAAAAGCTCCCCCTGCAATTTCCAATCCACAAATGTGGATCGTATTACTTTGCGTGGCAGAGCACTTGGCTTTCGTTTGTTTACACAACAAAGGTGAAGAGCAGAAAAAAATAACAGTAAATGATCGTCACTCACTCAGTTTGCGGGGAGTCCAAACGGTTAAAGTGGTCCTTTGTCTCTTTCTTGCTTTGAGTGTGCATATTTAACTTTGGCGGCTTTGCTCGATTTTCCCGAATTCGCGAATATCACATGACTACGTCGATTTGCCCGGCCGTTTTACCGTTTTCCCGCACTTTTTCGCTCGTTTCTCTTCACTCGCCCCGCGCGTTAACCGAATTACCGATTTTTTGCCGCCTTGGAGCACAGAGTAACTGAGTACAGATCTCTCTCGCTCTCTTTAACTCCTTTATTTGCTTCTTTCGCTGCAGCGTTTTAATGGCGTCTTTGACTTGGTGTTCTTGATATACATACATACATAAATACAAGTGTATGTATTTTTTAGCACTACCCACGCCAATTAATCACTCGTGGCAACTAATCCAAACACCTAAACTAAGGCGCAATATCTGCGAATATCATTTAATTATTACTGCACTTTATTTTGCTGCAAGTAACGGACTGCTCCGAATTGTACAGTTAGTTGGCGTTCAATCACAGCGTTTGTGTGTTACACTCGCGAAATTTAACAAAACCACTGCGCGGACTTAGATTGTCTTACTTCCAGAACAAAATATGCACTCCGTCGTTAGTTATTAACTTATTTAGTTGCTAGAAGTTAATTAAACGATGAAAACTCCGTGCTTTTGATGATTTTTCTTGCTCCAGTTATTTTCGACATCTTGATCAACGGTGAACTGCCGTAAGAATGGAATTTGAGAGCGCCAACTGTGATGCCGCGGCCGCTATCGGCGTTGCTCTAACTTTTATCCAGCTAGATCTAGCTAATTTTAATATAAAAACTTTGCGGTTTTTGGAGGAAATCTGACGTAATTTTTGCTTTAATTAAAAAACTAATACTGAATAAATCGTCGGTTGTGGCTAGTTTTTCTTTATTTTTTTCTTTTATTTTTATTTGGCCTGGTTGAGTTTATTTTTGACCAAATCTAGCTTATATGTGTGGTCATAACCCTGCAACTCCACCTACTCTCTGCTTTGAAATGTTGATGGTGGGGGGAGTGGTGGACATAGTAGGAGAAGGCGAAATTAATGTGGAGAGGCGGGATCTAGAGGAATCTAGAGAGAGGCGGTAGTCAGAGAGCGACACTCTCTCCCATCTGGTGGCCCATATTGAAAATGCGTCCCAGGATCCACTACCACAAAGATATAAGTCCCACACACGATCCACTTGATTTAGCCAAATGACTTTTACTTCATCCCTCCGTTCCAATAGGAATATGCAACAAAGTGTGGAATTTTGTTGTTTTAATGTTGGGTTTTAGGTAAATTCAAAATATTAAATGAAATTTATATAAGCATATATTCCGAGACACATTATACCAGCTATGACGATCTGTATAAAAAGATTTATATTTATAAAAGGCATGAAATTAGTAAATATCCTTCTGAAATATATAAAACATTGACACTTTAGAAATCAAATAATTATGGCAGCTATTCAAAATTAGATTTTATATTAAGATAAACGCAATTTTGTTATTCAAATATAATTTATTATATTGACAAAATTAAGAGCTGAAAGTTAAAACGGTAATTAATTAGTTTAGTTAAGTGCCGAAGTCTTTGGTCTTATCATCATTACTGCACGCTTCAATGAATATGACAGAGTCCTGAAATCTCGCCAGGCTACTCCCTTTCCTAGTTCATTATCTCCATATTTGCCACATAAGTTGCTAATAAAAAGATCAGGTATAGATTTATATATAGAATTCGAATAAACCTTTTTGTCAAAAACATTTACCTTTGACGACAATTTTTGTACCACCAGGCACCTGTACTCATTATTGCGCATTCTTGTCCATCGGTTCTCAAGTCATTCTTCCGATCCTTAGTACTGAACATCATTCCAAGTTGATATCTGAGTGAATCACCAGCATCCCCAGAGGCGAAACCCAACGATTCCAGGGTGTAATTGCTACCCTCCGATCCGACTCTAAAGTCATCGTACAACTCATAAGCTTTCACTCCCTCATGATCCTCCAGAAGGACCAGCAACTCCTGTGGCTCTGATGCAGTCATTGCATGAATTCTGTCCAGTCCCAGGAAGAATTCATTGCCCAGTTGACCAAATCCTTGCTTGTAATCCTCCCATCCTCGGTAGAAGTCCTCGCTTCCATCGTTCCTTCGCAGGACGATCGTCCAGCCACCACCGTGATTCCGCTGATCACAGGCCACCTCAAAGGGGTCCTCACTGTACTCAGGCACGCGGATCAGGAGCTTGGTGTCCCTGGAAACAACGGCACAACTTGAGGGATACGATAGGTTTCCAGACTGTGATAATCCCTCCAGGATCTGGGTCTGGAGCTGCAAGATCTGTGTTTGTTGTCTCAGAATATATGTTTGTTTTTCCAAAATCCAAGTTTGATTTTCCGAAATCCCTTTCTGGTTTTCTTGCTCCTCTCTATACCGCAAAATTTTCCTATTCAAGTTTTTTAAATTGATATATTTTTTTATGTATTTACCGGACAGAAGCCACTTCCGATTTGACCTCATCGATTTTGTCACACATCATCAGTTGAGTACATATTGCCTTATTTTGTTGTCCTTTTGTGGAATTTAAAATTAAAAAGCAAAAAAGTATTCCGAAGCGCCACATGACTGCAAGCCAGCTTTTTAAAGACTGATCAAAATTTTGAGGTGAACTGTTAAACGAAAACTTTGGAGTGAACTTGCAGTGCGTAATAGAAAGAGTGTCATAAACAATTCTTATCAAATCGGAAATCGTAAATATTAAGCAAAGACAATTGTTATAATTTATTTTTGTCTCTGGAGAAATCAGATAATAGGCAGATTCAGATAGGAAGTTATATATAAACGCATTCTATTCCGCGAATTTTTGATGGTAATGAACATTATTACTTCCAGTTTGGAAAATAATTCAAGTTAAGATTATCTATTTAGACTGATTCTAATTTATTTTACTAAATATCAAATCATCCAACACTGATATACTAATAATAGTACTAATAATAACAGTCATAAAGAATTCTTATCGCGCGAAAAGCCTCAAATATATTACATTTTTAAATCACTTATTTTTTCCGGCATTGATATTCCATGGAAAATTAGTCATCTAACGTTAAGCAATATAAAAAATATTGATTTAACTTAAAGGGTTTATGATGGTATACATTAAATAAGCTTTAGTTTAAGATAATTATTTTCTTAGACCACCCAAATATTTAATACTGTTTATCCTTTTAGTGACCATCATTAAAAAAGAATTTAATAAACCAATGTTATATTACTTTTTGGTAAACCAACTTGTAAAACTAACTAAACCTAACAAACCAAAACTTTCTAAGTGGCTTGAAAATATTTATTTATTTACTGTATCCCATAAACTGTTAACGTATTGGCCGATGAGAACTGATAACAAACAGAATATTACAAAAAATTGCGCAAAATGTTTTGTTGACTAAACTTATATTAGTTTAGAGCTGATGTCCTTGGTCTGATCATCATGACGGCTCGCTTGAGTGATTGATGGTGGCCCCTGAATGCATACCAATTTATTCCCTTTCCAAAGGTATTGTCGCCATATTTTCCACACAAGTTGCTACAAAAGAATTTACTGAATTATTTTTATTAAGAAACAAAATTCCAAGGACTTACCTTCTATGACACGAGAAATACCACCATGCACCTGTATACATTTTTGCGCACTCGTCACCATCAGTTCTCAGGTCGTTTTTCCGATCCTTAGTACTAAACATCATACCACGATGATCTGTCAGGGAATCACCGGCGTCTCCAGACGCAGATCCAACCGATTCCAGGATATAATTTGTATCCTCGGAGCCTACCTTAAAGTCATCGTACATTTCATATTTTTTTACTCCCTCATGATCCTCCAGAAGGACAAGTAACTCCTGTGGCTCTGAAGCAGTCATCGCATGGAGTTTGTCCAGTCCCAGGAAAAACTCATTTCCCAGCTTCCCAAATCCTTGCTTGTAGTCCTCCCATCCTCGGTAAAAGTCCTCGCTTCCATCGTTTCGCCGCAGAATAATTGTCCAGCCGCCACCATGATTCCGCTGATCACAGGCCACCTCAAAGGGATCCTCACTGTACTCGGGCACTCGGATCTGGAGTTTAGTATCCTTTGATACAACAGCACAGTTGGCAGGATATGGTTTCAATTCCTCCAAAATCTGAGTCTGATGTTGTTGCTCCTCACTGATCCAAACGATTTTTGTATTATTTTTATATTTAGTAAGGTATTATTTAAATATTACCGTAGTAAAGCCATCTCTGATTTCAATTCCGAAACATTGTCACAAATGTAGATTAGATTGCAAACATCCTTTTGATCCTGACTACTTGCAGAAGCTAAACTCAACAGGAAAATATTATTCCGAGACGCAACATGCTTCTAGGAGGTGTATCTGTAGACTGTTCAAAAGTTAACTGGTTCTCCCGACTTATATATACCTATCGAAACGAATGAACATCATTTTGTAAAGTTTTTAACTGATACGTTTTTGACCGATATGATATGATGTGATGGCATGGTCATAAAGAACTCTTATCTAAACAGAAGTCTTATAAAATTTCAATTCTAAGTCAGGGACAATTTGTCATTTTAATTACTTTTCGAACCTTACAATTATGTTATTATTCTGACACTAACTAGTGCTATATTGCTGCATTTTATATACATATTTTTCAAATTTATTTATACAAACATTGTATTTGTTACAGAACTGCAATTTTATAAATTCATAGTTCTTGTTCTGGTTTAATGGTTAAATAAAAATCAGTTCAAAGCCGAAGTTTTCGGTCTGATCATCATTAAGGCTCGCTTAAGTGAATATTCCAGACCCCTGAAAGCTTTCCAGGCTACTCCCTTTCCAAATTCATTATCTCCATATGTGCCACACAGGTTGCTAATGAGCGTTAGAATCCTCATTAATCAGAATAAAAATCTTTGTTAAGGACACTTACCTATTACGGCATTCAGCATACCACCAGGCACCTGTACTCATTATTGCGCATTCTTGTCCATCGGTTCTCAAGTCATTCTTCCGATCCTTTGTACTGAACATCATTCCAAGTTGATATCTGAGTGAATCACCAGCATCCCCAGAGGCGAAACCCAACGATTCCAGGGTGTAATTGCTACCCTCCGATCCGACTCTAAAGTCATCGTACAACTCATAAGCTTTCACTCCCTCATGATCCTCCAGAAGGACCAGCAACTCCTGTGGCTCTGATGCTGTCATTGCATGAATTCTGTCCAGTCCCAGGAAGAATTCATTGCCCAGTTGACCAAATCCTTGCTTGTAATCCTCCCATCCTCGGTAGAAGTCCTCGCTTCCATCGTTCCTTCGCAGGACGATCGTCCAGCCACCACCGTGATTCCGCTGATCACAGGCCACCTCAAAGGGATCCTCACTGTACTCAGGCACACGGATCCAGAGTTTAGTGGTCTTTGAGACCTCGGCACAGCTTAAGGGGTACGACAGGGTGCCAGACACTGGCAAACCCTCCAGGATCTCGGTCTGGTGTTGCTGCTCCTCACTGCTCATACAAATGTTGGTATTAATATTTAATTAAATATTATTTCAAATAATTACCGCACAGCAGCCATTTCCGATTTCAATTCCGAAACATTATCACAAATGTATAATAGATTGCACACATCCTTTTGATCCTGACTTCTAGCAGAACCGAAAGCCAACAGGCAAATAATATTGCGAAAACCAACATGACTCAAGTAGGTCTTTCTTTAAACTGACGAATCATTATCTTGCTATACGGAAATATATACAATACGGATCGAAGACCCTCATCTTTCTACGAAGTTCTTAACTGATACATTTTTGACCGATATGGTACGATAAGAGGGCATAGCCATAAAGAGCTCTTATCGCTATAAAACCCTCAACGAAATATTTAATTTATAAATCCATTACATATTTTAGGATAGGAAATTAGTCATTTTAATTATTATTTGAAGCACAGTAATAAAATAATTAAAAAAACAAGAAAATATTAATTAAAAGAGATCATAACTAATCTTTAAATACCTGCATTCTTTGAATCGATATTTATTGGTATAACATGTTAATATCAATCATCAAATATGATGACAATTTTTCGGAAAAAATAAGTTTTAAAAACTTATAACTAAGCAATAAAATAAGGGCTAGTTTTGATTAAGTTCATAATTCTGCATAATCAATATACAATTTTATAAAATTAATAATATTGACATTTTTTTTTTAATTTAATCCCGATTACCTTATAAAATTTTGAAAAAAATGTATAAAATTTATATATTTACCGGACATGGCTAGATCGACTCGGCTTTTGATGCTGATCAAGAATATATATGCTTAATAGGGTCGGAAATGACTCCTTCACAGCTTTAAAAGCTTTTGACAGAAATGATTATACCCTTGAAAGGGTATAAAAATATATTAAAGCAGGTGAATGATATAAATAACTACCATATCGTTGAGCGTTCACACACTCTGAAAATTAAATCAAATACCCTAAAGCAGGTCGGGAACTCCATATGAAGGGAATGGCAAATAGGGGCGGAAGTGGGTTGTGGGCGGAAGTGGGAAGCTCTTCTACCAATGCTGAGTTTTGGCTTACGATTTCTAGTTCTCTTTTTTTTTTTGGTGCTTATTTCTGGGAAACTGCAGCCTGTGGCGGAGTTAAGGCAACGTGCTCAATTAAGCGCCCACACACACACAACATACACACACTAATACACAACATGTGTGTGTAGGGGACGAGGAGCCACATTACAGTGAAAAAGTTTTTTCTTTTTTTTTTGGCATGGCACGTGGCTGGCCGCTAATATTTATGGCAATTAGTTTTAATAGTTTTGCTTGTACATTCCCATGTAAAGTTGTAAACTCACTCATCTCTATCGCCACCCCCTTTTGCCTGTCTATGTGTGTGTTTCTCTGTGTGTAGTGTGTAGTTTTAACAACTATTTAATGTTGTTTACAATTTGTTATAATATTGCAATAATTGAGCGTGTAACTAAATTCAAGTCCTGGGAACTCGTTTCGTAAACTGTTGGCCAAATATGATTCGATTTTATGCTATTTTAAAGCATAATGGTATATATTGAGGTTTAAAGTTTAATTTAAATGAAACAAAAAGGAAGGTAACCTCGGGAAACCGAATTTTCTATACCCTTGCAGGGAAAATCCATCATAGCTCAGTTAATAATGCATTAATTTTCAATTGGAAAACTTTTCTGTGTTCTAATCTATAATAAAAAAGTTAATCAAATAAATCTGGTTTTAATTTTCAAAGTATTTAATTTAAAAAATTGAAATAAACAGGAAATGGAAAATAATATTGAATTACACATCATATTTTCATTGAATTTGATCTAATGATAAAAGCTAAAGAAAACCCTTCCTTAAATATTTGTATGCCTTAGTTGAGACTTCAACAAATAGTAAAAAAAAACCTTCTCAAGTAGCATTTCATTTGAAACTCAATGTTTTGTAATTTTTTCAAAAAGCCCTCCCAAAATTCCTTCAAAAATGCAAAATTAGGCCATAGCTTAATGAATGAATTTCTTTTTTAAACTGCTTCAAAAAAGCAATCCTTTCGAAAAATTCACACAAAATACAAAGAGACATCAGGAAAATAGTAGAAATGATATTTTCCATTTGAGAAGAAGAATAGCTTTTAGTTCGCAAGGAAATGCTTAATTTGTAAAATGCTTCTGCAGCCTGAAAGTATGCAAAATATGTTTGTTATTTGAAAAGCGCCCGCAAAGCCGCCTAGATTGAGAAAACTGCAGCAACAGCAACAGGAAGAAGGACCCCATAGCAAGGATCACTGCAGCCTGGCTCAAAAGCTGTGCTCATGGTCACCACCCCCTGATAATGCCGATAACGAAGAATCCTTGGGAATTCTACAACAGGATTACCTAGCTGCGGAAGTAATGCCCACTGTGAGGCAGCCGCGGAAAAGGCGAATTGCACCACAACCACCACCAAAACCATCACCCAAACCTAGGAAAATGAGGGGGGCAAGGCTACAAAATGATCAGAATGATCACTGTGCGTTCATTGAGCAGCTTTTTGCAACCACAAATGAGGCAACAACGCTCAGAGCCATATCCACAGTGGGCGAGACATCGGCTCAGGCAGAAATAATAACAACATTGACAGTGGTTGCGGGTAAGCTCGGTCTCTGCAAAAAAATAATAATAATAGCACAAAAAACACATGCGATTTTTGAAGCCAAACGACGCTGCTGCTGCGCTGCCCTTTGCTAATGAGTAATATAGGGGGTAGCATGGGTATGTTAGTTCTTAAAGTTCTTTGTCATATAAAAAGGGTTTGGTAAGGGCCAGGCCTACTTGAAAGTATTTTCTTCTATTTCAATTTGATATATTTTTTTTTGAAAACAACATCTTTTACGGGGTATGTCATTGCTAGTTTATTAATATTTATTTATTCCATTTCTCTGCCATTCTCTAATCACATTAATTACCTATTTCTAGCTCTTCGGATTATTTATATGTATATTTAATAATAACTTATAGGTTTCTATTACACTTATAAATGGTAAAAGGAGATTATTTTTTTTCTCAAATGAAGTTTCCTTCCCCTAAAAATATATTTACAAATCCTCAAATAATATCAATTATATATTAAGTTTAAATATGAGGTATTCCCAATGTCGATCATTATTTTATTTGCGATCTCTCAACGTTTTCTGCTCTGCTTTCGTTCCATGTAATTCGAGCTTAAGACCCCAACAAAACTATATGTGATTATTTCTCTCTGCTCTCTGGTGCAAGCTCTCTTGTTGTCAGTCTCTCTCTATCTCTCTTTCTCCCTGCCTGTCTCCAGTTCTCCCCATCTCTTTTCCCTCTCTCTCATTCGTGGTCTCTCAGCGGCTTTCCAGCGGCTCTTTCCACGCTGTTTGGGTTTTAGTTCCCTCCAACAAACCAGTTGTTATTAACGCTTTGAACTCGCTTCCGTGCAGATCGTTCCATGTAAAAAACCAACAACGCTACAGAAAGAAACAACAAATTTGAAATAAAACAAAAATACTGCTAGAAATACAATGCGAAAAGTGACAAGTGATGAGAGTGGAGTAGTGTCTGTGGAAAAGTGCCTGACAAATGCAATTAGCAATTAACAACTGCCGCAATCTACAGGTGTTTAAGCAGTGTTCTTTTTTTCTCTCCTATTTGCTGTGTTTGTTCTTATTTTCTTCTCGCTTTTATCTTGGAGTACCTTTTTCGGTTTTATATCGCGGTTCATCTCAGGGTTTTTGGCTTTTGTTTTGCTTTCAATTTGCTTTAATTAAACAATTTAAAGTGGGAGAGGAAGTGGGGGGAAAGGGGTAAAGGCAACGCCAACGCATATTTCTGTACTCTTTTTTTTCGGTTTCCCTGAAGAGTGACCCAAAACCAAACCAGTTTCCAGTTCTGTTTTGTACGATTTTCTTTGTTTACCTTGTGCGTGGGGATTTTCTATAACCTTTCCCCCCCCCCAAGTTTTATTTTCATTTTCATTTAGCCAGTGGAAACACACACCTTTTTTTCCGTTCGTGCTTTTCTTTCTTGACCATTTTCCTCCATATAGATTTTCATAATTTTGCGGCTTTCCAGTCTGAGCTCTCTGAGCGTCATCCTCTCTTTGCTCTTGCACTCTCCCGCTCCCGCTCTCGCTCTCGCTCTCTGTTTCTTTTCTTTGCTCGGCTTCCAGTGGCGCCTTGTTTTTATTTACTTTTGTTTAATTATTATTTCTTACACACATGTCGCATTTTTGTGAATGAGCCACCGATGGGGCCCGTCGTGCATTAATGGCAAATAAATCATTCGAGCCGCACTTGGCGGATGGCTTTATTTAAATCCAAATATTGCGAGTCGAGCTCATCGCACTTGGCAATTTACATTAATTTTATAGAAGATTCGAGCAATGAAAATTTATTTTTAAACTTTGGGAATAATTTGTTAAAGGATAATAGCAACTATCAATTCTTACCATTTGTTAAAAATGATTAGAGAATTTTTAATAAAAAAAAAAAAAATTTGAGCATTTTTAACCTTTTATTTACAAAGTGTTATTGTGCCTTGAAAAATATATATTTTTAAAATTTTTTAATGTCTAATCAAGCGTAATACTTTATTTAAAAATATAAAATATATTTTCTGTAACAAAACATGAAAGATAACTTACTCCGAAGGAAGGTTTTGAATAAATATTTATCGGTTTTTTTGTTACGATAATTTTTTTTAATTAGTTAAGTTTAAAAAATTCATAACTAAGCCAAAAAGCATTAATTCAATTCGGAAAGCTGTCCTATGTTAGTTTTTAAAAGATTAACAAATCTGCATACTCCGTTTAAAATTTAAAAATGTAAAAATTTAAAAAAATTTTTGCTATATATTTTTTTGAAAAAATTAAAAAAAAAAATTTTAAAATTTTTTGTTCAACCTTTTATAGCTAGAATCGTCTCGGCTTTCATTGCTGATCAAGAATATATATGATTTATAGGGTGGGAAATGACTCCTTCACAGCATAACAAACTTTGACCAAAATTATAATACCCTGTAAGAGTGAAATAATGATAAATTGTATTAAGAAGTGGGAAGATGTTAATTAATTTTCAACATTTATTTCACATACCTTTGAGTTAGTATAAATAGGCAAATCTTTACTGCAGATCCCTATTTTCACCATTTCAATCACAATTTCCGCTTGTTGACTTCCATTTATTTATTTGCCACACCTTTATAGACATTGATTTTCTATAGCTCTTCAACTTCTATCTCATTCTCTACATATCGATTATCTATCTCTATTTTCTCTATATTATCGCTTACCGAATCTAAAGACGACTTGGTCAGTTTGGATTACACCGATTCCTTAGAGTACCAAAACTGTAGCAGCGACGATTGTTGCTACGCCTCGAATGACACCTTAACCCATGGCAGCCAGCGCAGCAGCAGCAGCTTCCACATCATCATCATCATCATCATCAAGATCATCATCACCATTCAAGTGGAAACTGTCATCGTCATCATCATCATCAATATCCCTACGACCGGAGGTCATTGTGCACAAGTTGTTCAAGCAATGATTCCCTCTTCACAGATCCCGTGGATGAGGAGCTAATTGAGGCCAAGTCAAGCCATTGCCTCCCTTAAATGCTACCAAAGTTCAACCTCCATCGAAACGTGATCGTCCACTGAGCGAAATAAGTGTCACATCGGTGGATACACTATCGCCGAGCACCGCAAAGGCCGTCCTAGAACTCCAGCGACGCTGTCGAGCGGATAAATTGGCCTGCCTGAGCTTAACCCGTGTCAGTTACCTCAATATAGCCAATGATCTGCAGGAGGTCGAGGAGGCTTGAGCCGGCTATATTGCTTAATACCGATCTATTGGTAGCACCCAATAGTCCAGCCGAAGAGAGTTCGCCGGACGAACTTATGGCACTGCAATTGGGCAAGAAGTTGGCCCAAGTTTTGGGCAGTGGATCGGGCACACCACTGACCCGGGTAACATGGAAGCGGGCACACCGACAGGAGGATCGGTGGGAACGAGGCTTGGGGATTCACCTTTGGGCAATGGAGAACTCTTCAATGTGTCCAAGGCCAAGAAGGTGGAGCTACAGAATCTATCATCACGATTTGCAGCCGCCGTGAGCCAGACACCTCAAGGTGTTTTGGTAACAGGAGCAATAAACCATGAAGCAGGTGAGAAATTAGTTT